TAAAGTGTCTTGTGACAGTTTTCTGCATTATTGTTTGTTATTTTTTCAAAGCTACCTTCGATTCTGACTTATTTTCTAACGAATTGAATTCAAGTTGAAATATTGCAATAATGCTCCATGTGTTAATAAATATAAAAATAAGTAAAAAAGTTGATGTTTTCTAGTTTTAGTTCTAATATAATCCTAAATTGATGCATTGTTAATTTATGATTTGAAAAAGCATGTAATCTTTAATACTTTCTTATTGTCGTTATATAATGAAAATATCAATAGGTGGGCCAACTGAAATGGGAAGGGGCTCGTACTGTAACGAGTAATATAATTGATGCTTATGTAAAAAAAGACATTACTGTACTTACACTTTTGAATTTTTCTAAGGCGTTCGACACCATCGATCACAGGTTGATGGTATCAAAATTGAAATATTATGGTTTTCGTTATGCAGCAGTTGCGTTGATAAAATCATATTTAAGCAACAGGTCTCAACGTGTATGTTACAATAATACATTTTCAAATTCTATGAATATTTTATCTGGTGTTCCTCAAGGCAGTGTCCTGGGACCGCTCCTTTTCTTAATTTATACTTCTTGTATTATCAAATCCATAAAAAATTGTAAAGTCCAAGCCTACGCTGACGATACACAATTATATTAGAGTTTTAAAAACGATCATTCCTTAACTGCTAATCAACTTATTAATGAAGATCTTAAACTTATTTATGAACTTTCTTTCCAACATAATTTAAAACTAAATGCATCAAAATCTTGTGTTCTGTTTTTTGGTTCAAAAAATAAAAAAGAACTTGTTAAAAATCAACCTAATAATAATATTAATAACACCAAGTTGTCAATTGTTGAATCAGCTAGAAATCTTGGTATATATTTAGATACTGATTTAAGATTTAGAGAAGATGTAAGAAAAATTACCCGTTCAGCTTATCTTTCTTTAAAATTACTTTACTCCAGCAGGCATTTTCTTAATCATAATCTACGAATATAACTTAGTGAAACTCTCGTCTTGTCCAAACTAAGCTACTGCGATTTTATCTATGGACCCTGCTTAGACTTGAACACTCAATATAGAATTCAGAAAATTCAAAATTCGTGCACAAAATTAATATTTAATCTTCATAAATATGATCATGTTACTCTTAAAATACGAGAATTAAATTGGCTCAAGGTGAGTACAGCACCCCCTTATAATTTTCGGAAAAGCATATCTCAAAAAGTATTTTTTTTCTAAAGTTAAAATTTTGACAAAATAAATTAGGCAATAAACTTATATTTTAAAATTCGCCCAAATTAGTGGCTAAAACGCCTCGTTAAATGCTGCTTTCTGGTGTAACGCGACTGTAACTATCGTATCATACACTCTGAGTCATCATTCGTTTCTTGCAATGATTTACACCAGTTTAAACCATAAATTAATAAAATGCTTTGACAGCTCTTCCCCACTAATTAAAAAGTAAAAAGTAAAACAATTCATGATCGTAACTTAAATTTATTCAAAAAATACTTTCTTAGTTTTTAGTTTTTTACTTTTTATTTCATTTTTAATTACTATTTGCTAGCTTTATATAGAAAACAAAAAAAAATAAAAAAAAACAAAAATTAATTATTGGAATTTTTGCTCCATTGCAAATATATTTTTGTTTTTATTTTGTATACATTGGTGTTTTAGTGGTTAAGTAGGAGTAGCTATTACAGCTAGACTTCGCCACTGATTGCATCAGTATTCCTTTTATTATATATCCATGTAAATAATTTTTGTAAACTTATATACATTATTTTCCTCTAATAAAGACGATTTATTATTATCATTATTATTAATATTATATTATTATGTATCAGAATTGAAAATTATAACTATCACAAACAGAAAATATAGTATATTTTAAGTATATTAGGCCATAACTTTTTTTTTTAAATGTGACATGAGACCTTTACCCCCTTATATCTTCAATTGTTACTTGAAAAATGCTTAATGTTTTTTTGTTTAAAACAGTTGTGTCTCGATTTCGACTGAACTTACTCCGCCCGCATGCAGTCTATTTAGATACATAAGTGAGCATTGGTAATGCTCCATTGTAAATTCTGGTGAGATCGAGAACATTTCTATAGCGAATTCGTCATAAATTAAATTGTCCAGAAGGTTAGCCACGCCTCCAGTACTTGTAATTTGCTCTATCTTCCTGGACGCAAGCTTTTGATAAATATGACATAAAGGAGTATTCCACAAGGTGGAAACATTATTGCTAAGACAATATTCATACATGCTAAAATCATATTTACCAAAGACGATATTTAACAATTACCTAAACAGGAAGAAGCCTATTTTAAATTAAAGGAAATTGCGGCTGGAACAGCACGTATTCGGTCCTACTATACAGCTACTATATACAGGGTGTCCGGGAAAATGTGGGAGGTCTCTCGGACTCAGATAGAACATTAAAAAATGAAATGACAAGTTTGCACAAATTTTTTTCCAGCGGCCGTCTCTACGGAGATACGGCCTCCAAAAGGACGCCACTGGAAATTAATTTTTCTTGAATAACTTTCAAACTACGTAATATAATTTAATGAAAATTTAATATGATAAACAGTAGTAAGAACCTCTTAAAATACTGCCCCTAACAGATAATTAGCTTGTTTAGTTTACCAGGGGCGGACTAGGTTGTACATTTTAATGCCTAACATTTTTAACACCCTGTATGATAAGGAGTTAAAAAAAATTCAATACCTTCAACATTAAGCTAAAGAAAAGGTACTCTCCTTCATTGTAGATAAAATGAACCGTATTCGAGAAAAAACAAAATAAAAGAATTAATATTTAATTTTTATTAAAAAGAAACCATGATTTCCAATTTTTTTGTCTGCAGCAAAGTGTAATACGAAAGTCATTGAAATAGAACTGTTATCAGTATTTAAAAACGCACTGTTTTTACAAATGTTACTATGGTACTTATGAAATAAATAAATGAATAATTGCATTGACGTGTGCATTTTAAATCTTGTTGACACGTTGATCTTTTAGTACTCCGATATTAATTTATTGAATTTTGAATATCTTGGTAAATTTAGTGAGTATGCAGATATGCATCTTATGTACGGTCTTGCATCTTGCAATGCTTATGAAGTGTGGTAATATTTCTATGGTTATTCTATAGTTGTCATTATGTTATTAATGTTAGTTAATCTTGTCAAGCTAATTGTCATTTTTAATTGATTAAACCTTTACAAAAGGAGTATAATTCATCTCATGAACCAAGAAAATTGTATGAAGAAAGATATCCTAATCGCAATATTCCAAATGAGAAAACATTTCAGCGCCTTGACCAACGTCTAAGAGAGACTGGTGGGCGATTCCCAGTTAATAAGGTAGCATTATTGACTTTCTTTAATAATTTTTAGGAAGTTTTGGGAAAACAAGTACTGATTCTGGTTTGACAAAAACAGTACGTACGGTGCAATTGATGGAAAATATTTTCGATACTGCAGCTGATACTCCTTCAATAAGCACTCAAAACTACAATTGCTGAATTACTTAAAGAACAGTTGTTATGCCCTTATCATCCGCAAAAAGTGCATCAACAACTTCCTGAAGATTTTCCTCGAAGAATCCAGTTCGCAAACTGCCTGTTAAAACAGCAACGAACAAACGGAAATTTCATTAGCACTATTCTTTTTACCGATAAGGCAGGGTTTACCAAAAATGGTATTGTAAATTTACATAACTCGCAAGTATAGGCTGATGAAAACCCTCATGCCACTGTTGTTCATCATTATCAACATCACTTTTAATCAATTAATGTTTGAGCAGAAATAATCGGCAATTTTTTGATTGGACCATGTGTATTGCCGCCACGATTGAATAGTGAACTTTATTTACAGTTCCCTCAGAACGCTTTTCTGGATTCAATAGAGCATTTGTCACTTGAAACTTGCCGAAGCATGTATTTTATGCTTGATGGAGCCCCACCTCACTTTAGCGTCGCTGTACGGGACCATCTGAATAATGTCTATCGAAACCGTTGGATAGGCAGAGGAGGTCCAATTGCCTGGCCTCCACGGTCTCCCGACCTAACGCCAATGGATTTTTACCTGTCGGATCATCTGAAAACCTTGGTGTATATTCCTCTCCCGTTGATACTAGGGAGGAACTTTTACAGAGAATCACATTTTATTGTGATGTGATAAGGAACAATGCTGGGTTATTGTGGCGAGTACAGCAGTCCTCTATTCGTCGGGCCTGCAAGTGTATCAGAGTTCACGGAGCACATGTTGAACCCACTTATAAAGTTTTTACCTGATTATTTCTAATTAGCGTATTTAGGTTCAATCGTTACAAGCTTTAGTGAGTTCAGGATGAAAACATAATACTTCAAGTTGCATTTTAGAATTTACCAATTTGAAATTAGCTAATTCTGGGATTTAAATTTTTTTATAAAAATAAAACATTAATTCTTTTATTATTTTTTTTTCTCGAAAACGGTTTATTTTATCGACAATGAAGAAGATTACCTTTTCTTTAGCCTAATGTTCAAGGTATCGAAATTAATTTATTTTTACTCCATATCATACATGGTGTTAAAAATGTAAGCATTAAAATGTACAACCTAGTCCGCCCCTGGTAAACTAAACAAGCTAATTAAGTTTTAAGGGCAGTATTTTAAGAGGTTCTTACTACTGTTTATTATATTGAATTTTCATTAAATTATATTTCGTAGTTTGAAAGTTATTCAAGAAAAATTTATTTCCAGTGGCGTCCTTTTGGAGGCCGTATCTCCGTAGGAAGGGGCGCTAGGAAAAAAATTTATGGAAACTTGTCATCCTAGTTTTTAATGTTCTATATGAATCCGAGAGACCTCCCATATTTTCCCGGACACCCTGTATAAATGACATACCTTACTGGGGAAAAATGGATTTTAATTTTCTATAAAAAATTCAAATTATACATGCCGAGTGGATCAAGAAAAACTTGAGCTTTAAGTTTTATATTTATTATAACTTACCTGCCCATAACGTGTCAATACTTATAATGGTTATTCCATTCAAAGTAGTGGCCATGCACTGATAAGTGTAGGCTAATTCAAAATTAGGACTAACGGTAGTATCGAAAGGAAACCATCCTGCTAAAGGGAGCTTTAGTTCATCTTCAGTAAACGGATAAGTTGCCCAAAAAATACAGGTTAATACTCCTGCAGTCAAAAAACTAGAACAGGTAAATAAACATTTTATATTGATACTGGGGATCGTTATGTGTGAGTTAAGGTTATAAGGTAAAGAAAATTAATAAATAGTCCTGTGAATCTCACAATGATATACAGGGTGTCCCATGAGTATGTAATAGTAACAGTACTTTTATTATTTTCCCCACTCCCCCGTTTGTTCCATTCTATTCTGACCAATAATAACGGATATTTGCGTTATTTTTCTTTTGACCTTGCTGCTGCACTAATTAACTTAGAAATAACAACTTTTAGCAGTAACACAAATGACTTATAACAGATCAAGTGGAATGCCGTTTGTCTCATTTAAAGCTGAGCAATATTAGCGGAGATAAACACCTTGCACATCTCCTTCATAGTGTTGTTTATTCCCTAGAAAGAAGGAGGCGAATCAGCAATGGTCAAATTTCAAATGTTCGTTCTTCTTTTTACAAAGTTTGCCAAATTGACTGTAGTGGGCAGGTCGAACGTTAGTGCCGTTAATTTTCTAGTTAAGTCAATGTAAAATAAAGTGATTTTTTTAAATTAAAGAATCAAAATGAGGTGAAATAAAGTACCTAACTACAAGTAATATGAGTGACAAAAACAGAGCAAGATTTACTTCGTTCTAGGGATACAAATCAGATGTAAAACTAAAGAAAACAAGGAAAACTCAATTCAATGTCTTTTTAAAGCTTCTAGTAAGTAAAATAATATATTTATTTCTAAATATAATATTAGTTGTAAACTAATCTTACGGAGTGTAATTTATTTTTATTATAATATAATTTTCCAGTCATAGATCCTGATTTACAAACAATAATTATTATTTATTAAATTTTACTGGAAAAGAAAATGTGTTTTTTATAATAGAGTTTTAGTCTTAGCTGAAGAGTTCACTACTGTTATTTTTGTGGTAAACTCAAATTTTGTTATTGTTAATGTTTTTAATAGCTTAGAACAGTTATCAGCATAAATATCGTTCCCTTAGGCCGATAAAGCACTTTTTAGAGATGATGCTGCTAATACTTTTTAGAATATATTTCTAAATATTATGAGACTATTTTTACTGATGATACTGTTAGCAAAATAAAAAGGGGAAGGCCAAAATTTAAGGATGAGGCAATACCATGTACATTCCCAAATCTTCCTTTATGCTTGTATTATAACAATAAAAAATATGATAACTGAGTTTTATTTTGCACTTAAAACTATGTTTAGGCATAATTCAAAAAATTTTAGCCACACTGTACTTACCAAACTTCATTATTTACAAACTTATTCGAATTTGGTCAAGCCTACCTAATTTACATTTTATGTAGATAAAATTAAATCTTTTATCAATTAAAACATGCAAAACTTATTTAGAAATAAATGCAACAGTATTTTCTGTGCTTTATTTAGCAATAAGCAAGTTTATTTTGTAAAATTTCCATAAGAAGCTATGCACTTGTAACAACGTTAGCAACACCAGCGCCCAAGCGGTGAATTGTAAAATTAGTGTTCGTTTTTTGGTACCGTATTTAGCTTTCTTATATCTAGTCTTCAAAATATTAACTAATGCCATTTTGGTTTTACAGTTGCACTTAGTTCCCGAATACTATGTCCTTTCTCTCAATGCTTATATAACTACAGCTCGACGCGTGACTTTAAACGTCTCAATTTTGACCAAAATGGAGGACCTTAGCGATTTCCCTCCCATGTTAATTTACAAAAAAAAGTGAAGTGAAATATTAGGGGTTAGCCTTTTTTTACTTAGAGCGAAGCGTAACAAATCTAGTAGATTAGGTAAAAAAACTTAACTAACGCAAAGATAACAAAATTGACATACCTGACATTGCAGGTTAAGTTAATTGAACAAAAAAAGTAACAATAAACTTGTTAATAAATTTCACTTCATGTTTCTATTTATCAACGTTTCACTTAGAAACCGGTCTCAATATTTTTTGTAAAATACATATAATGGTGAGATTTAAAGGACTCTTTATTTATTATCTTCACCTATAAATTAAACATTCGCTTATCAATTTTTTTTTAATAATTTATAAATACCTGAAACTAGCAAATTTTGATAATTTGATATAATTTGTCAAAGTTGTTCGTTGTTTATCCGATTGTGGTTGAAAGATCGGTTGGTTTAAACAGTTAATCAGTTTTCTAACTCTTAATCTGTATTTGAACAGGTAAAATACCTTTGTAATTTGTACAGCATGAGTCAAAAAAAGAAATGAAGCTGCAGCTAATTCTTGAATACTTGTATTAAGTAAAATGAAATGCAAAACTTCGCTTACTACTTGAGTCCCATAGATGCCGACTAAAAATTAAATTAAATATAAAAAATGATGCTGTTTAATCTTATTTCCGTTTTCATTGTTTTCTTATTTTTTTCAATACTAACCTAGGTAAATAAAAAGTCTGATCAAAAACCAAAAAGTGTCATTGGGTCCTTTCAAATCCGGTACCATAACAGCACAGGTTTCCAGTACAGCAACATTCACTTTTACGATTTCTTTAAAATTCATGTCATACACTCCTCTTCTTGGGGTAACGTTTTGTGAAAAACTGGCAACGCCGCGTTTGATTTCGTCCATCACGAGAAGTTCTGTTGCGGAGCTGAAACAACTACACTCAAATGTTGATAGTAAGTCAGGAATAAAATTTTATAGAGTTGCTATCTATATTTTTTCGAAATTTATATACCTACCTAGATAAATATCTATAATGGTTTGAATATAGAGGGTATAGACCATTTAAATGTACACTATGCCGGTACAAAAGGTGAGTTCGATGAGTCAGGGGCTGGAACGGAGCGGCGTGGAGTTTTTTTAGGTTGCTTTGAATTTTTTTTGCTTTGGATATTGATCCTTTAGCCACACACAACATTTAAATATTTAATTAAATAGTTAACCTAATTAAATGGAAATTTCATTTATTGAGATAAATTCTACTATTAAGTTGTAAATTTCTTTATTCTACGTTACCAGTAAAACTTGAATGTTGGTGGGAAATTAACTTATTTAGCTTGACCATGAAGTTAGCAGTTCCTGGATTTATTTTACAATTAAAAAACAGGTAATTCAAATCCTCAATTTCATTATCATGTTGACAAATAGGATACTCTATTATTCCTATCTTATGCATGGAAAACATCCATGGTTGATCTTAAGTTGTGTAATGATAGATGAGTATTTTTATGAAACATTAAATATAAATATGTGGGGAACCGGTTTTGGTAAATCCTTATGGATTAGAAAATAGGGGTTAGTAGAATTTATGGCTATCTCTGTCCATTTTTTTTTCCATTTTTTATTATATTTAGTTTATACCCACAAAATAAATCACTACAACAAGGAATATTATCGAAATTAGTACAAATTCTTGCTTCTTTGGCTGCCACATCTGCTTTTTCGATTCTATAAATATCACTGTGGTCCTTTACCCATATAAATATAACTTTGCAGTTCATTACTGCTGATATAGTAAATGTTTTATCTTACAAATGATGAAGTTTTTTAAATTATTCATTGAAAAGTGTTTAATGCTTTCCAATACGGATTTTGAATCTGTGGCTATAATTGTTTCTGCAGTACTGTTGTCCAAGCACCAGGAGAAAGCTTTTTCAATTGCATTAGCTTTTGCGGTGAAAATACTACAATCATCCGGAATCCGACATTTAAAAGTTACTTCCCTATCAGGAATAAAAAACGCACAACTTACTCCTTGTTGGTCCTTACTTCCATCTGTGTATATAGTTAATTTAATATTTAAGTTATCTATTGTTGATAATAATAATTTTTGATTATAGGAGGGTATATCATTGTAATGGGGGAATATAACTAGTGATTAAGAGAAAATTGAGTTGTTATCAAATGTAAATGTATAATTACTGAGGGATTTATGTGCTTAACAATCTCCTGTGTGTATAGAAAGGCAGATGATAGTAAAGGTGAGTTTTTTTACGCCAAAATTTGTTGGTTAGATCCTCTGTATTTAATAAATTTATTCGATTAACTAATGACGAGTTATATATTCTCAGTTTAGTTATGTGTTTGTTAGCTAGGTATTTAAAATTCTACAGCGGGTGCAGCAATGTTGGACCCGATAATCTCTGACAGTTTAATGACATGAATTTCAAATTCCTCAGATTCTAATAAAGTTATGAAATCAATAATTATTGAGAAATTTTACAAACGTTCTTTCAACCTGGTATTAATCTTTATCGGTTTAAAACATTTTTTTTTAATTCAACTGCGTACGATTTCTTTTAAATGTTAAATATTGAAAGGATTTTTCTTCTTGTCAGTATCTTTTTGATAAAAAATTTACGAATTGTTACATTATTTAACTATTTTTTGGAATAGTTTTGTAAATTATCATAAAGTTAAATGTTTAAGTTAATAATGAGTCTTTTTCTTTTTTTTCAGGTAAGAGATATTCTTTTTATAAGGTAAGAAATGGTCCATAAATTTATGTTCATTTTGATAAGTTAATAATCAGTAAAAATCTATAATATATCGAGGGTCCAGAGTAAATACCTAATAAGAAATAAAATTTAGTTATGAAGATATTGGCAGAGACAACCCAGCGAGATGTGTAACTCAATGTATTTTTTTTGTTCGGTTAAAGTTGTTTGGGAGATTGTAATGGCAACCAGTCTATGATTGCGCCACTAGTAATTTTTCTTCTTTTCTTACTGCTCTGCTTATCGAGTCATAAATAGCGGGAAAATTTAAAAATGCTTTAGGGCGGAAAATTCAAAGATGGATTCAGAAATAAATAGTTTTTCTATACAAATTTACAGGAGAAACAAAAACAATTGTTTCACTGTACATTAAAAAAAACTTTTAATAACATCAAATTTTTTATCATATAAATAATCATTTTAATGCAGGAAGTTTTAATCATAGTTTAATATAAGCAGTGAACATAGTTTTTATTACTCTTGTAAATTTCGCTAAAAAACTTGAAAATTCTATTGATTATTAAATATTTAAACTTGGAAAAATAATACACTAAACTCTTTTTCTATAAATTATATTTTTGTAAGGTGCAGAAAAACAAACTATAATTGCTACGTTGAGAAAGTACCTCGTATCATTTTGTGACAAATTACAAAGAAAGGTACAGTCGTTATATATTTATATTATATTTAAAAAATAATGTAACAAATATTTTATAAAATATAGAGTATAATATGTTATGACTCTTTATTTAAATAGAAACCATGAAAATGGAACAAACACACATACACACACACAAATGTATGAGGCCCGAGTCGAGTAAGTTCCCATCCTGTAAACTGGATCGAAACCTGCTGAACCCATTCCGTCCACCACCTGCTAACTCCTCTTAGGGTCATGCCATGCCTTCTAAAAGGGAATGAAGGTGACATACTATCATTATTTAAACAGGACGTTATTGAAGGCTTACCCCTGTTATGTAATCTGTGTGTGTATCTTGTGCGTGTGCATTCCTGTTGTATCCCCAGTCATGTAAAAGTTTTCCTAGTCTCCTAATTTGGTGACTAGGTGGACCTTCTCCACCCAGTGGTCTAATCTATTCGATCCGCTCTGCAGCACGAGGTACTTTTTAAACGTAGCAAATAATAATAAATAATAAACACTATTTAAATATGAATACATTTTTGTAATTTTTATGTCGTTGTCCCTTTTACCAGTCTCTTAGACCACCAGGGTATACCTATTTTCCATACTCCCTTAATTATAGATTACCTTACGATATTTGAATGAATATAACATTTTACCCATAAAACATTAAATTTCGAATTTAGCTCTTTTTCAATTTCATTCACAACAATTGGTATATTACAATTTATTATCAAGGAAATCGTCTAATACTTATAAAGTAATAGCAGATTCTACTCAAAATACTGGTTGTTCTGCAGGATAAATTAACTTTTCTTGAGATTGATCTCTCTTTAAAATCCAAAACCGACCTGGGGCTCGATTCTCGAGTTCATTGGAAAATTTTCCCATGGGAAAAGATTCCACTACGTCGTCTAAGATATAATGGGGGTTAATTAGCTTTCGCCAGAATTACATTGCATGGAGATGATTTCATAGCTCCAATACAAAGTCGTACAGCTTTGTACTGGATTCTACTGACCTTTTTTAGATTTGTTTTTGACGAAGACCCGTAGAGAATGCAGCCGTAGTCAATTATGGACCTAATAAATGACTTGTTGAATAAGTGCAATTGAAAGTGTGGCACCCTACTATTTTTTTGTGACACAACGCAATATATTAATACCTTTCTCGCATTGATTTTTTATATATTCTATGTGCTGTGTCCAAAGCAATTTCGGGTCTAGTACTACTCCTAGTACTACTCCTACGATGTCTAGTAAAGCACATAAACGCAGATTTTTCAGTAGACATTGTGAAACCCATCTTACTTAACCATGTTTTTAGTATTTGTAGAACTTCTTCAAGGTCGTTTAAACATTGGTTATAATTTTTACGGCTAACATAAATAATACAGATATCGTCGGCATACTGGAATAATTTAATATTATTATTGAACTTACTATGTAATTCGGACATATATACATTAAAGAGAATAGGGCTAAGGATGGAACCCTGAGGGAGACGGGTGTACACTAATCTTGGACCATATAACTCGTTATTTTGATTTATGATATATATTTTGCGTCCGTTAAACATTTCGGTTATATTATACGCTACCCTTCTATCAACACTGACCCTTAACAATTCTTTAAACAATATATCCAAATTGACTGAGTCATATGCCTCTTTTAAATCAACAAATAGACAAAGAAGTTATTCGTTTCTAGAAAGAGATAATTGTATATCAGTGGTTAGTTCTGATAATATATCACAAGTACCCTGACACTTTTATAACCAAACTGTGAATGAGGAAGCAAAGTTTTAAATTCTAAATGATATTCAAGCCTTAATTTGATCATTCTCTCAAATATCTTGAGTACCCAAGACATCAGAGATATTGGACGATAAGAAGAAGGTAATGCTGCATTTTTACCCGTTTTTTATATTAAAGTAATAACCACTTTTTTTAGTTCTTCTATAATTTTTCCTTTTAGTCACCAGTCATTGAAAATATTTAAAATTCGTAACCTGGCAGATTCCGGTAGGTTATATAGCATTTTATACGTAAATCCATCTAAACCAGGAGAGGTGTTCTTTGAATTTTTTACAGATATATTTAACTGTGATATATTAAATGGTTTATTTAAGTCATTTGTTTCAATTTGAAGGTATTCATTATAGTTTAAGCGTGATTTACCGGGAACATAGGGGGGAGCATAATTATTTAATATTTGGGTTACGACTTGTTCAGAAATAGGAATTTTGTGACTTACTTTATTTTTATTTATAGATTTAACTATTTTCCAGATTTCAGATATAGATGAGCTTTTATTTAATTTATTAATATACGATTTCCAACTATCATGTTGTTTTTGTTTAAACAGCCGCTTTGCAGCAGCTTCAATGTTTTTGTAAGATAAAAAAATTCCAAATTGGATAAAGTTTTGTAACTTTTAAGCACCTCTTTTCGTTTTTTAACCATATATGTGCATTCGGTGTCCCACCAGCATGCTTGGATGGATCTAG